TAACAAATCCTATTAATTCATATCACATTCTTTGCGAATTTTTTCATTATAATTTGTAGGTTTAACAGCACACTGAGAAAAGTGTGTATTTTATTTGTTGTGCTTGATGTACACACTTGGTTTCATAAACTGGTTAATTAGATATATTGTTGAAAATGTATAAGTGTTTATAATATTGTATCATAAATTATGTTGATGTAAATTAAAAGCAAAAAGAATGTACTATGATGATGATATGCTGTATGTACATTTGCGCCGAATGTTAAAATATTTAAATATGGATATATGAATAATGTATGACTGATAATGATTTGTGTAATTCATGAATGTTAAATGTACTATCTATTTAGAATGTGTTAATTATGTGTTTTCAGAGTGTGGAAATAGTGTTATACTGAAACAAGTAGATTGATTGTCCATTATCCATTGAATATGTCTATTAGTAAGATACTTGCTGTGCCAACAACAACAACAAAAAAGAGATTGATTCTACTAAATCCTTGACTTTTATTCACCCTGTCATATTAACAAATATAAAAAGAGTTAGAAAATACTAGAGATTAAATAAGTATTTTAGTTTCTTCTGAGTTCTTTTTAAACTGATTATCTGTCTTATTTCTAATGAATTCAAAACTTTTAATCTTGAGAAAAAAATTGTCACCACTTTAAATTAAATACATTAGTAGAGGGCGGAGATGAAGAAACTTTATTACAGTCTAAAGGTCTGGATTTTGATTTAATTTCATCAGACTTTGTCGAAACGTTATCTCAGAGACATGTTGGATATCACTATCACGAGCCTTTTACATATGAATTGCTTGCTTGTTTAAGATGACGACATTTCGTTATGAATGGAGTTGTAAATTTATATGCTAATGCAAAAAAGGCTTTTAAGAAATATATATCTTATTCATTTTTTTGGAGTAAGTGTTATATTTATCATACAAGTATGCAAAAATATAATTATACACCTGCGGTCGTCACATAAGGGGAATATATAGATATAGGATAATCATTTTACAGAAATTCGACAGAGACTCGTTACCGCGGTAAACAGTTGCAGATAGTTTGGTCTGTATGAGCAGGCATTTACAAGAAGAAAAAAGTAACAAAATATTTAACGCATATGTAAATCAAATAAAATCATAAATTTAACCAGGACATTTCAACATGGCAAAAATAGATGGGTGTTTGTTCAAAAACTAAGTCATTAGATTACATCAAAGAAAAAATGTTGTTAACACTGTGTAGGTCACAACTTTTATTTAATCTTTATCATTTATATTTATAAGCATATTCATCATATATCTTAGTGATCATCATCTTATTAGACCTCATAGATATAACAATATTTATGAAAAATGAGTCAAAAGGTAGGTCATTAGATTACATCAAATAAAAATCTTGTTCACTCTTTTGACACATCAATTTTGATCTGATCTGCATCAAACCTTTTCTCAATAGTATCTCAGACGTGTTTGAAGATAGGTGACTTTCTTGGTTAAAAATAGATAATCGATCTTAAGAGGTGATAAAAATTTACTTAAAACAAGTAACAATTTTGATTTGATCTTCATCAAACCTAATCAGATAAATTGTACAAATTATGTTTCGGATGGATTTGAAGATGGATTATTCTAGAGACAACAACATTGATTTGAATTTGTTTAAAGTTTAACGAAATTGTTATATAAATAATATATTTTTGAAAGTAGGTCATCTTCTGTAAAATCTGGATTTACAGTGACCAATAAATAAAAATCCTGCAATTTTAGATTGAGAATCCTGTTATGACATCATTGCGAATTGTAAACGAGGTCAAACAGATAGTATATTACTTCATTTATTTCTATATATTCTTTTCACAATCAATTTTGAGTCACTCTGTTCACATATATGGAATATATCTTTTAATTTGGAATGATGCTTATAAATCAGTTATAATAAAAAAAATACCAATAAGTCAATTTATTAACAGAATAATTAAATTTTGATGGTAATGATAAAATATTTCTCAGAAAGAAAAAAAGACTATTTACAATAGTTTTACATTTACAAATCGTTTACAGTTAGGTTGGACGAGAAATTGAAGGTCGAACTTAAAAGAAACTTAATGACAAGTTTTGAAGTGCAATAGAGAAATTGAATATCTATCATGTCTAAATACGTTGTAAGTGTTGTTATATACTGATGCACGGAAGCTTGTATTCTTGACAGTGCGAAAATTTATTTGTTTATTTTTTCGACCCTCATTATATTATTATATATGTCCTTATATTATCAATTACTGCAGATAGATCTTTCTTTCAATGCGGAGTTTTTCACGTTCTCATTCACGTTTGACATAGAAATAAATGCCATTTAATTCGTATTCTTTGTGAAAGAGACTTTCTGTAGCTGATTCCCTTTTACTTTAAACAAACTGATTGTGTTCCCTGTTTAATCATAGAGTTTGAAGGTTAAAAAAACTAAAGTTATTCAGAATGAATGTATTTGTTTGTTTCATTTTAAACATTATACCGCTTATTATGTAAATGTTACTGGATATTTTATTGTATTTAACTTGTAGATACCGCCTTTAAATTAAAGCTTACAATTCTTTTAAACACCAACATTTCGAATCAGACTAAGCAAGCTGCTCTTGTTTATATAGAATTTTAGTAACATGACATATGTCATATCAAGTAACGTTCCCAAAACCTAAGGCGGCTACCAAAATGCAGTCGCAGATATGTGTACTGCTTTCTTTCGGTATATCTTGTTTTCAAAACTTTCTGTCACCTTCTACATGTTATGTTTAATCTTCAAGGCCGTTATGTTTCGCAATGGACCTCTGATGTAATTAACCACACATTTGAACTACTTTTAGTCGCATGGTAAGTTAACGGCCACTATGTGGCCTATTCGTAGCAAAAAGGATTGCGATGTTTTTATTACATTCTATACAAGAAAAATTAATGATGTTTTGGAATAACATCCAAATTTCCTTTCTATTTCAGGCAAAGACAAACTTACGCACAAATAATGGCTGCCTTACAACGCAGCGGATTGCCTTGGTGTTTGCCGTACAAGGCTTCTTATCCGAAATATACGGGACGAACCATTGTTATAGCATTGCTACTGGTTTACATGTTGTAAAATAGAATATTTAAGATAATGTACAACCCTACGTGCTCTCTACTTGAAAAGGTCCATAGAAACGTCTTTGAGATTTTAAAATCAGAATTAATAACATGCAGAAGATGAAAAGGGAAACTTTATATAAAAAAAATTTTATCCAACATTATTTGAATAAAATTTTGGTCACGATTTGATCTTTTATGTTATAACTTAGTATTCAGTTTTGATATTTGAACAGCATTTTAGCTAAAAATGTCACGCGCAGGTCCCATGTCAACACCTTTTAGGCCATTTGAATGTCAAATGTGAAATAATGTGTATCCGCTTTCCTGTCTATCTTTAAATATTCAAATGTCAAAACATATGGCAGATATATACACAAGGGTCAAGATCAGGTAAGATGTCATATGGCAGGGGTACGTACGTACGTACCTACTTACCTACCTATCTCATTTTAAATATACAAATGAATGAATTAATAATTAAGTAAATAAATATATACGTCCTTGTTCCAGAAGATATGAATTGTGAAAACGTTTGATTTAAACAAAGCTGTGAAAAGTACATGTATCACATTGAACTTTTTTTTGCCCAGTACATAAGCTATTCCTCATTAAGAAAGGAAAGATGCATTACATTAATATAAATACAAAACATTCTTTTTTTTATAACAAAATGCTTGATGTGTTTGTGTGAAAAACGGTTTTTACCTTTTAGAAAATACCCATGCGTGCGCACTCACACACAAACACACACGCACACGTGTGTGTAATGATATGTATTGGTTTGTAATTTTTCACAGGCAATCATTGTACTGTAATTTGAGTATGGATTTCAATCTATTTCTGAGATTATTTTTATATTTCATCTCTTTATATTATTCTTGATAAAGTGTAAGGTTTTGGTACATTTTTCCTACCACAATATCACAATTTTACATCTGAATGGTTCTATCTGGGAGACTAATCACGATTTGATATATGTTCAAAACCAAAACTTTGAATTCCGGCAAAGTTAGTGTAAAATGAGTCCTTCACTGTTACTGTACCATGTTTGCTTATCAGAACGTTTTCTGAACTACACATCGTCTTCAGAAGGACCTCGTTGTTTCTTTTGTTTTCTAAGTTTACCTCGAAAGTATAAGGTGATCTTGACTTTTCAAGAACAATTGGTACTTTAAGCGTTATAGAGCGTTGTGCCTTTTCCATAGAATTAAACTCTACACTTTCCCTAAATACGAGAATTTCATTCTCCTTTCCCAAGTTGTTTTTGCAACTAGAATCTTTTCTTACTTCTTTTTGGGCCGTTTGACATGTAACAGTCACAGTTCCTGATATTAAGACATTTTGAAGGTCGACACCATAAACGTCTTTGGTTTCCGAAATTTTATTGCTGTTGCGGTAGGAATATATTTGAACGACTTTACAATTATAGTCACGGAGAATGGATGAACTATTGTTGTCTGGAACTTCAACCCATTCAGTATTTTGTCGGCTATATAAACAGGGCTTAAATTGCAGATATCCGCGCATTTCTGACATCTCAAATGCTTTAAAATTAATATCTCTGCTTACAAAGACTTGAAATTTCGATATGATTCTGTAACTTGAATATTCTCTGACTTCTCCACATGTAAAGTGTAATTGTTCTTTAAATGGAATTCTAGACACGCATGAATTGCTCGTTACAACTGTGTCAGGCACCTTGTTGATGAAATCAGCTATATCTTCATATTCTTCGATTGAAAGATAACCTTTCCTACGAGTACATTGCAAGAAGTTTTCCGATGACATAGTTGGTAGCCTTAGGTAGAAAAATGATAATCCTAAAAGTGTTCTCGTATTTTGTCCATTTTTCTCAAAGTCGCCTTCTTCTAATTTCTTTTGTGCCCATTCTTCGGTCTTTTTGAATATACTTACTTCGTTTCCATACAATGTGTCTCCCATCAAGATATAATCAAGGTTTTCTTTTGTCAGTTTTAGAAAGCCTTCAGATAAAATAACTTGATCAGCATTCTGGTCAATAAAAATACAGCATGCTTTACACAGGGAAATCACTTCGAAACGCCGGGCTAGTGACAAAATATCACATACGTTTTCGGGTTTGACACATGAAGCCAGAACATCGGCACAAAACTGCACCAGATTTGTCAACTGGTAATAGTGAGCTGTCTCTAGTACTTTTGCAGCCAAATCTTCCGTTAATGTCACTTTGTCCATATAAGCATATCTAAAACAGAGAGTAACACAGTTTATACACACACAGTTACTCAGTGACTTTACATAAATTTATTTAATAATATTTAATAATCTTAATCAAAAAGGGATAAAACATTTTAAGATGCTAAGAATATATAATTTGTTAAAGGCTATTTGCAATATTTAATATCTATTCAGCGTAGCATTTGAAATGTATATTACTTAATATATTATTCATTTTATATGTCAATTGTAAGTTGAGAAAAATATCGATGATATAGGTATTAACAAAACGATTTAGTAATTACACGTGTGTTTAACATCAATATCAGTCTAGCATTTAATTCGAGCTGACTATGAGCAATATAGGGGAGTTTTTCCATTGAGCAATGTCAATATGTATAACAGCGAGCCGTCGAATTTCGTACAATACTTGGATACTGCAAAAATTTTGATTAATGAATTTACAGCTTTATTTACAAGTACACATGTATAATGCTTTTAAAATTATTCCCGGCAGATCCACTTATTTCAGACTATGAGGATATCAATTAAATGTTATTGTTTCTAGGCGTCAAATCTTGAAATAAATAGTCTTTTGGTCACGAAGAAACTCTCCATATAGTCAAATTTTTATTTAAGGGTAGTTTTTACCATCTTATCGTATCTTTGCCTGACAGGTATTCCTTACCTCAAGAATAAATCAAATGTTTCTGCTTCAATACTATCAAGTAGAATTTCTTCGTTTTCCTCTGCACATGGACCAAAAAACATCGCCTGAAATACGGGACTTCTTGCAGCAAGAACTATTTTATGCGCATGAATCCTTTCATTGTTGTCATGATCTTTGCATCTGAACTTGACATCTGTCCAAAGTTTGTTCTCATAGAGCTTTATCATACAATCACCCAACGCTTTGGCGTGTTGCCAAGCAGCTGGTAAGCTCTGACTCGACTGTGTCTCATTACAAGCCTCCATCTTTGTCTATGTCTTTACCTGCTAGAAATAAATCTTTTAAATGACAAAGTTATAATCTTAACATACTGTATCGATCAGACCCATCATTTTACGTCCGAAAATAAACCCATATCCGGAAACTACTCAAGTACTGGAGTAATTATCTCCACTTCATTACATCGACTTTTAATCATCAATACATACACAGTTATCACAGATAACTTAATAATTGTGATATTTGCAATGATTATATCACTTATAATAATTTATTTTCTAAACTGTAGCCGTTTTAATGATCACTTAGCCACACGCTGCCAATTTAAACATAACAGCTGGCACCGGCTAAATTTCTGCCCGCGCGAGCTAGGCGGTGACGTCATCAGAACGATACTACCAAGCTAGGCAACCCACGCCAAGCTAGCCACCCAGCGTCCGAGACTATAAATAGCAGCCCGAATCCGCCAGAATTGTAAGTACCTTGGTAGATAGCCACCAGACCACACCTTAGCTACAATCTATACTTATTGAATATGGATACATCTCCAGTCACCAGAAATGTATAGAATACTTTATGCCAGGAATAGTTCATAACGAAGCTTTATATTAAATCATCTAGTTTGGCATTATTGTCCATTTATTATAGATCCTGACTGAAGACCAAGTTTCCATAGGCCCTAATACCAATCCAGGGTAGAAAACCACTTATTTTTTTATTACCTGTTTTTTACCCCTCAACCCTTTTAAAATTTTATGTAATTCCACCATAAAATTTTTACCGAAACCAAGGCAAAG